TGATTTGTCCTAACAACTAAGAGTCACAGTACATTACGTATGTCGGGTACTATGCAAACGAAATATTTCCAAGGCACGTCGTCTCAGTTGCATTCAATGCAGTATTAGCACGTTATTTGTAGGCTCGTCAAGCCCTCATATAGTACCCACACTTTACCATCAACTTTGAAATGAACTCGGGTCCTGCCAAGTCTCTAAAAATGGTTGATCCCGTCTCGTTATATGTTTATTTAGTGCCCTATCGCCTTGACATCATAACAATGGAAAGTGTTGGAATAGACAATGTTATAAACTTTATGCTCTACAATTTCCGGGATTCATCAATTTTGATTGACCATCTGCGTAGGTCGCATCATGCACAAACTAAAGGTGACCTGTGAGCTTATTTAACTCATGTTTGAAGTTCGAGCGTTGAAAGTCTGTAACAGTTCATGATCATAGTTATTACATTATGAAAGCAATTCATCGTGTCTGGCATCCAGTACAAATTTCCAAGCTATCATCCATTTGGCATATATTCTAATCTGCATTCTTTAATTTCTAGATTTCTAACTGATAGATATATATGGGTAGTCGATGTTAGCAAATCTGATACTGGAACCATGAACTCTGGCATTCTGTAAGGATTGGGTTGTAATTACCGGCAAAATGTCATAATCGAATTGTAAATCTTGTGGGTTTACTCGCCAACATACAACCGGCGTGCTGAACTCGTAACTAATTGGCACGTTTTGTTTACGTGACAAACTTTACAAATTAGCATTGTCGGGTGGAGGCGAGTTTCAGGACATATTTATATTTACATGATCGAACAAAAAATATATATTATGGATAATAATGGTCGTAAAAGCCTGTGTTAAAAAGGATCTGTTTTGTCTACATTATTTATTCTCTTATTAACGAATTATTTCCTTCCATAAGAATATAATCCATCCTTTTTTCAAAGTTACGGCAAACTTCAAGCATTTCTACTTAGCGAATGCTTTTACAAGCGTAGTGACATTGAATGAGTCACTGTAGCGTGTGCCGCTGGGGTAGCAGCCCGTTCTACCAGTTGGACCTGTGTGCAAGGCACGGTGCCTTCTGGGGGATCCAGAAGGGTGAGGGGCCAAGGGCAGAACCTGGCCACGCTGAGCTGGATAAAAGGCGAGCTCCGACTCACAGTCGGGGCTGCTGAGATCTGGAATGGAACTCGTCGTACCGTCGTCGTCGTGATCTTCTCCCTCTTCAAGGTGTGGGTCTGGCAACATGTTGGCTATCCCGACCCGGTATATAGTTATCCCCTAAGGCTGTGAAGGCCGGAATAAAAGACAGAGAGTACCTATTACTAGTCTGTGACTGTCATACAGTTAGAGCGCCAGATATGCAAGACAAATAAATACATCACACAGAGACCCAGAGACTCACCACACAGAAACTCATAGACTCATCACACATAGATCCATAGACTCACTACACAGAGACAGTATAGCTTTGATGTTATTTGTTGCTGGCCATTTGACGTTTTGGCCCCGTTCTCAGCAACTTTGTAAGACGATGGCTCTCGTACGCGTTCAACTTAATTGCCTGCAACTGTTTTGTACAAATCTGAGCATGTAGTTCTGCAACAGGTATGTAGTAATTTGAAATGGCAAACATGTTTGAACACGCCTTCTAAAGCACAGCCCTGCAAATTTTCTGGTTAGCTCCACGTTCAGATTTAGCCAGACCGTGGTGGTGCACCTCCGATTGTCACCTTTCGCTGTGTATGGCAAGAAAGAAGTTCAACACACATACATATATGGACGCCTGTGAACCAACACTATGGAGTCACGGGTTAGCGGATCGCACAAATGTTTTGAAACTCTCTTCACGTGCGTCTCGAGGTTGCCACACCTTGGATTGCCAGGAGTGAGCAGTACAAATCATTTGTGGACTCCACGTGGTTCCCTCTATGAGATTGTTTCCCCCTCGCATGTGTGGTGTTTTTCCAGGTGCTCTGGTTTCCTCCCACATTTAAATACTAATTAATTGGCTGATAAAACCTTAACATATATATATAGAGGACCTCAGAGGTCGGGCAATTGTTAGGTGCTAGCTCACCACGTCAGAATGAGAATCTTTATTTACACTGCAGGAGGAATCCGATTAACTATAAAGCTATTTTTATCACAGATGTCCAGTTAGGGGGCACGGGGGTCGGCAAGTTACAACAACAAACACAATACTCACAAACACGATAGGAGTGAGAAATTAAATAGTAAGTCGCGCATCTGAGTCGTCCTTTCTCTTCGAGAGGGAGCGAATAGTGTGCACTGATAGCTAAAATCATGATTTTTACGTTTGCTTCTGTGGACAGGTGTCTTTTATACAGGTAACAAGCTGAGATTAGGAGCACTCCCTTTTAGAGTGTGCTCCTAATCTCAGTCGTTACCTGGGAGCCAGAAATCTTACCTGGGAGCCAGAAATCTTTCTGATTGAGAGGGGGCCAAATACTTATTTCCCTCGTTAAAATGCAAATCAATTTATAACATTTTTGACATGCGTTTTTCTGGATTTAGTTGTTGTTATTCTGTCTGTCACTGTTCAAATAAACCTACCATTAAAAATATAGACTGATCATTTCTTTGTCAGTGGGCAAACGTACTAAATCAGCAGGGGATCGAATACTTTTTTCCCTCACTGTAGGCTTTTGCTGTCAATATTATCCATAATATTACGGCAGTTATTACGGCAGTAATCACGTGTGCAGTCCTCAAATACGTCGCTCCAAATCGGCGTGCAAATCGCTTGAAAGTAGAAATTTGCTTTTAACCGTAAAACGACTGGTCGCACAACTGCTCATAACAGGTTGCGTAAATACATATTTGAAGTCACGTGTAAACAGGTTTGCACAACTGATCGCTCAAGCAGCCTTAATATTCAAGGGGATTTACGCTCCACCCCGGAGAGGAACGGTTCCATATTCTTTGGGTCTTTCGGTAAAAACAAGTAAATAGGTTCAAAGAAAATAACAAATAAAACAAAAAACTACGACGTTTCGACCACAACACAAGCGACAATGACGATCGCTTGTCTTCTTTGGTTCTTTCGGTAAAGTCACGTAAAATGAGAATAAAATAATAAATTAATCAAATAAAATAACACAATAAAATTCTCATGACGTTTCGGCCACAACACAAGTGGCCTTCTTCAGGTGAAAGGAACAGACCTGTCGGGACGACAGAGCTTTAATAATAAAACATGCTACGAATCTTAACAACGTTCATTGAAGCTCTGTCGTCCCGACAGGTCTGTTCCTTTCACCTGAAGAAGGCCACTTGTGTTGTGGCCGAAACGTCGTGAGAATTTTATTGTGTTATTTTATTTTATTAATTTATTATTTTATTCTCATTCTACGTGACTTTACCGAAAGAACCAAAGAAGATGAATCGTTGCAGTCACAAAAGCTTTAAATCGAAATTTTACGATTGCTTGTGTTTGTTTGTTATTTTATTTGAACCTATCTACGTGACTTAAAAAAAAAGACACGGAATATTAATTTCTGCAGTCACGAAAGCTTTAAGTAATGGAATGGTTCTGTTTTGCAATTTTTTTAGGTGACCGATTTAAGTTATATTTTAAAATAGCTTCCTGTTCCAGCCAAAAAAAGAAAACCCCTTTGGATATTCTCATGGGACCAAGCCTTTTCTTACTCAAACAAACACCTCTTGATAATATTGGACAGAAAAGCCAAGAGGCGAATAGACTCAAATAAATTGAGTTTTTTCGTGGTGACAGAACAGGAGTTGTGCAAATGTGTGTTGCTTTGACCGATAGATTTCCACAGCAACTCATAACGGGTGTGTGCATACCGATGTTTCAGGTGCATATTTAACGACTGGAGAAAATGTTATTACTATCCCGAGAATGCGGTAGTTATTAAAATTTAGTAAGAATTGTATCAGTTATGTATTTGAACCTCATGGCGGGACCTCGGGGTCCCATAAACCCCCGGCTCTTGCATAAACTGCGTTGCGACGTCATTTTGTCTATATTCTTGTTTCTTTCGGTAAAGTCACGTAGAAGGGAAACAATAAAATAATAAAAATATAAAACAATAAAATTCTCACGACGTTTCGACTGCAACACAAGCAATCATCATCAGGTGTGAAAACCACTACAAGAAATTTTGAAAAAGTGGCAGTTATTTTTAACGTTAGCACCACGGAGAGCGATTTGACAGTTTGTTCAGATGGACGAGTCCATCTATGTTAGGAAAAGAGGAGGGGGGAGACGAAAAATAATGGATGCGGTCTGAAAGCCACCTTAAGCGTGATCAATCAATTAAGACCCAAAATAGTTTATCAAATCCTTCCAATGATTGCTAAGCCAGAATCCATCTTCTCGGTTGAAATTATCTCTGTGTTTTTATATGTGGATAGCCTCATGAACGAATCTCTCATGGTAGCCAGATGGCTTGCAAAGAACCTATATCTTGGAGAAGTCATAGATGGACTCGTCCATCTGAACAAACTGTCAAATCTGTCTATGTGGTGCTAACGTTAAAAATAACCGCCATTTTTTTCAAATTTTCTTGTTGTGGTTTTCACACCTGATGATGATTGCTTGTGTTGCAGTCGAAACGTCGTGAGAATTTTATTGTTTTTATTTTATTATTTCCCTTCTAGTTGACTTTACCGAAAGAAACAAGAATATGAATCACTGCAGTCACGAAAGCTTTAAGTCATTTTGTCTGTTGAAGGAGAACGATATGGCAATCTATTCCTCTCGACGAGCTATACACGATGCGCTAATAAAAGTTTCAAAGTTTTGTTTCTTCTGCGCATTTGTCCTTGCTGCGCTTCGACGACATGACAACATAATGATCTGCGCCAGGTGGGTCGCGGCGTTTATCTGCGCGGTGGGACTTGGTCACCAAAAATTAATTAATTACGATTTTGACTTCCGTTTATTTGGGACCCCAGGGTCCCGCCATCAGGTTCATTTGTTGCTGTTGTCGTCTACGTCTGTTCTGATAGATGGCGTGCTATCTGCGCCGCTCAGCTACTCTGTGCCACAAGGGCAGGCGCTCGGAGGCACCCCGCTCCGTGACGATGGCTACTCCGGTGGGGAGAGCGACGGAGGAGGGATGCTGTCCGGGGGTCGTGGACAACTACTGGACGGAGTCGTCGGGCACAGCGACTGGCAGGAGAATGCAGGGCTAGAATGGGTTGGCTGGAATGGCTCCCAGGCAGTGTCCATTACATTCCAGTTTGAAGGTAATAAGGTTGTGTAATGGTTGGCACGTTACGTGGAAATTACCATGTCATGGGATCGTATGATCTGTAATAATACGTTGTCACGCCAACAAACACGATGTGTATCGCTTCGGCACACCATTATGTTGAGAGACATTTTCAACTCTCAACAATTCTGATCTTGAGCACACTGCTGTGGTGCAGCTATTTCAAAAAAGGCATGTTCTCATGGCAACGATATTCACGACGCTGTAGCACATGGAAGGAGCGTTTGTGCGGTGTAACATTGGCATTGTGCTCATGCGATATGACCCAAAATCAATAATAAAAAAACATTGGTCACGAAAGTCAAAATGTTAAATAGACTTTACTTGCGCTGCCAAAATCAGGATCTGAGGTATGTAATAATGGGACTATATGAATGCAAATTCATTCATTCATTTATTATAATTTTAGGTATGATATCATCATAGCATTTGCACTCAATTTTTCTAATAAAAGTGCACTTTTTCTATTACATTACACTACTATTTTACTGTCGGGGGAACGATTGCCAACCGTTGGGGAAGGAGGATGAGGGATTTACTAAGGAAAAAAAAAGGATGAGCGAACCTTCCAGAAAGGGGGCTCGAGGGATATTAAAGGAGATAGCACGAGGGGAAGAGACGCTTGGAGAGAAGCCATCAAGAACCAAAGCCCGGGCCTAGGCATAGTGTTGGTGTCCACAATAAATGTTCTTAGTAAAGCAAGAACATGTGTCGGCGTCACCACATATCTATCTCACGTGCGCTACTCAGAGCTCCATCTCACTGGTGCTGTTACACCTCCTATGCAGTAATTCCCTTCTCACGGTCTGACTGTCACTCGCTTCGACTGTCACTTATTGCCACGTGCAACTGAGGCCATAATCTGCCAGAGCAACTTCAGGGCAATCGTCATTGACAATGATTGCCGTAACATTTCTCATTGTACAATTCTCATTGGCCCAAATCTAAAGAACTCTGATTGCAGCGACGAACACTGGGTTAGGTAAACTTCTATTACTTCATTCCATTACCCAAAGAAGTTGCCATAGTCGCTCGTGGTTAACGCATTGCAGATGATCAATGCTGTTAACACTCCCCACGATTGCCCCGAAATTGCCTTATCGTATCTTAACCTTCATAAAAGGCTCTTCCAAAGCCTATTAAAAACAACACGTCCTGTGACTACACTGCACGAGGCCTTCCCATTGCCATAGAAACCAACGCCTGCCTGTAAACTGCCTCACATGACCCAGAATTTGTATTGCGATAGATTTTAAAACATAAAGGGGATTGGGAGTTTGACTTAATATGTTAAAAAGTACATGGGTAAGTAAAGACCCTTATCTACATTTGTATAGCGCCTTATTCCAAGGCTTTTACAGCTATCGGAGCGGAGTGAAGGCCGAGTAGGAGAGCTTTACAGTCGTCGAGCTGAATAAAACGAGGGCGTGAACCAGGAGTTTAGCAGCAGAGAGTGAGATGAGACGGATTTTACGATTATTGGTTCTTTGAAAGTGGCAAAAATATTAAACTAATTTCTTTAGAACTGCTTCTTGTTGTTTTGCTCACTCTGTTGTCCTTCCGCCGCACCTTTAATTAGCGCGGTTGGCTACGTACGGCAAGTAAGGGTCGTGGCAGAGATTTGTTCAGAGGGAGGAGTTGAAGGTGACCCCGAGGTTTCAACTAGAGGGAGACAGGAGGAGTGAGGGGAGAAAGGAGGAAATTAGATGGTAGGCCAGGATAGAGGGGAGCGGGGAGAAGAAAAGGAAATAATTTCCATTTTTTTGGGAAGGTTTGATGGAGACACGGCGGCGTGACATCCAGGATTGGACAGTTACCAAGCAGTCTGAAATGCGGGAGGCAAGGCCTGGGGTGAAGGAGGGATACGAAAATAAAATCTGGGTGTTGTCGGCGAATAAATAATAGGGGAAATTTTTTTTAATGAAAAAAAACGACAGATTCCCAGAGGCTGAGATACAGAAGGAAAATAGCAAGAGCCCTAAAAACAGACCCTTGTGGGACTCCAAGGGAGGGGAGGTGGAGGGTCTGAAAGAAACGGAGGGAGCGCGTGAGGAGAGCAAAGAATGGAGCTGAGCCAGGGGGAGCCTCCCTACGTGATATTTGAATCGCATAACCAGTGAGCTATGCCGCAGGTTGGCATTCATTTGCTTTCTCAGAAGGATCGCCTCTCGGTGTCCCTACACATGTATTTTAAGAAACATTAATGCATAATAAATGATATATTATTGCTTGCACAATTTTACGTCTATATCATAAATGATTAATCCACACATTATTTACATACCAAAATACGAATGTGTTGTCCTTCCCCCGCACCTCCGATTAGCACCGTTGGCTACGTACGGTGGTGCGAAAGAAGTTCAACGTACATGCATACGTAGGAATGTGTCTATGGAGAGACCATCCATTGAGGAGATAGAGCTAGGAAAGTAGTCAATGTGCCGGTACTCGGTACATTTTGTTTTATCATTGCAGGTGAATTGACAAAAGGCAAAGGATGGTAACAAACGCGTGACCGTGCCCGCGATTAACCCGATGATCATGCCGTTGCGGTTTTTGTTTCAGCAGGAGAGACTTTGCTCGGGAAAGTGATGTTCTACTCCAACAACGATGAAGCGAACGGCGTCAGAGTGTTCGAGCGGGTCGAATGCAGTGTGGGCGGCAACATCAGCGACGCTGTCAAGGTTTGGACAACGCGTGGCTGCAACGCTTTTAAGTAGTCAGTGGGGCCACAAGAAGACCCATTCAATTTTCGAATTGTGTCCAAAACTCAATACAGTTGATGATCGATTATCCTGGCACGCGGTTATATTCTGCTTCCAACATTATTCGGCGGGTCCCAGTGTGCAATATTGCATGCAGTACATAATACACTACATACAACTCAAACAATAAAAAGACTGCACGTGCATACATCACCACATGCAGAGTCTTTGAGATTGGAGTGGTAAATACGGAACAGTAAATACTCTTTGAAAGGATATATTTGTGCCAGTTAAAAGGGTAAAACCTATTCTCATATCTTGTTTCTGGCAAAGGAGGTCTCATAATGTTAATGCTCACCCCGAGCCCTCAATACTCTGATAGTGCGCTGTTTTTGAGTTGTACGCCTTTTGGCGTCTTCTGGTCCAACACCAATGGAGACTAGGCTCTAAGAAAAGCTGTCTCGGGTGTGGACCAATCAAATTCAAGGACAGTGCATATTATTATCAGAGTTGTCTTTTTTGTTTGCATTTTGACTGCTTGTGTTGTGGTTATTGCAAACATGATGCCTTGAATAAAGGTGTCAGTTTTTGTGCCAGTTAAAAGGGTAAAACCTATTCTCAGGATATATTTATGTTTGCCTATTTGTATATTTATTTATGCCAATTTCACATAGTAAACTAATTAAAAACACTAAAAAACATATACACACATTATAGACTGCCAATACGCTCACCAAGCTTAAAAACCAGGCTACTGTCTATATTATAGACTTCCAGTACACTCACCGAAGTTAAGAACCAAACTTCAGTCCACATTATAGACTGCCAATACGCTCGCAAAGCATAAAGACCAGGATACAGTCTATATTATAGACTGCCAGTGCGCTGACCGAGGTTAAGAACCAGGCTACAGTCTACATTATAGACTGTAAGTACACTCAACAAACTTAATAACCAGGCTTCAGTCTACATTATAGACTGCCAGTATAATCACTCTGATTAATAACCAGGCTACAGTCTACATGAGTTTTTTTTATTCACCATATTTGTATTATTTTTTTCTATCTACGTGACTTTACCGAAAGAACCAAAGAATACACAGAGTCTATTTTAAGGATCCAAACATTTTGGAACTCAACTGCGAAAACAGGAAGAGGAACAGCGGGGAACTGCAGAAACAGCAACGCTGCAGCCCGACTTACTGATCCAGTTCCACACCACCACCACCACCACTCGCTCTGGACACACGCACGTGTCCGAGCTGTGGCAGAATCTGTCGATCCTAGATCTGGTCTCTTCAGCCATCTTCGGACCCACAGATGATCCGACTTTTCTGTGGAAGACAATCATCCTCGATTGCGAGGGATGGCCTAAGGATGATGATATTACGTCACAAAGGGGGACCGTGAAGAGCCGCGTGTGGCTCCGGAGCTGCTGGTTGCCGACCCCTGCTTAAAGTCAAGTGGTTCTTCACCGATTTTCACAGTAGGGGGTGGGGGGTTGCCACTTTCGCCGATGAGACATCATCAGTGGTGAGGGCTGCCACACCATTTGAAACCATTGGGGGGTTTGACAGAGTTTCCGCGCGATGATGATAATCCACTATTTCGTTGAGCTCTCATTTGTGTTAGCCAGGTCGCTTCTGAAAAAGAAGCTTCATAGCTTAGCGGGCTTTACCAGGGTAGACAAAGAATATGCTAGTTTTGTTGTATTGTTTAAAAGTGATTTGTTTACCTTTCCTATATGTTGCGCTCATATCGTGTTTGTGTATTGTGTTTGTTGTTGTGATGGTCTGATCTCGTGCCCCTAATAGGCATCTGTGAAAAAAAAGCGTTATAACTAATCGGATTCCACCTGCAGTATAAATACAGATTCTGATGATGGGAGTGTTCTCACAATTTGTGTATTGTCGGGTGCCGCACGTCAGGGGTCGCACTAAAGGCCACCAGGGGCCGCCAGGCGGCCCACAATGGCCTTGCTAATGAAGAACACTGATTTAAATATTCTCCCAATAAAGTTGGCTCCCTCTGTAACCAGGGGCTATGGCAACACTTGTAAAGATCTTCCCATATAATTTAAATGTTAGCGTAACATTCTGCTCCTGTGAGAGAGTGTAACCAAAACTAAAAACCTAAAACCAATATTATCCGCTTATTATTTACAATAGAAACTTAAAACCGACCCATTATAAAATAGTATTGCTACATAATGAAAAAAAATCACGGGTTCACTTCTTTTCATCCGTTCAAACAATGTACCAATTGCTTTGTTAGCTGAGGTCAAAAAGTGAAACTGGTCGGGGATTCCCAGATAAATATCACAGTCCTTATTCTGTGGGTCTTTCGGTAAAGTCACGTAGATAGGTTCAAAGAAAATAACAAAAAAATACGATGTTTCGATCGCAACACAAGCGGTCGTCATCAGGAAAAGGGGGTTAGCTTGTGTTGCGATTGAAATATTGTAGTTTTTTTGTTATTTTCTTTGAACCTATCTACCTGACTTTACCGAAAGACCCAAAGAATATGAATTCCTGCAGTCACAAAAGCTTTAAGTCAAGATTCACAGTCGTTATATCTATTACGACGCTAGAGAGCACAGTAGCAGTGGTCCCTCAGTGACTCTGTGGGTCATCTTTGTGCACAGAGCCTTAGCGTGACGCTGTCCATGAAATCCCCCTTTGTGCACCTTGCCAGACTGAAGGACAGGTGCCCGCGAAGAGTGCTTTTCCCAAAACAGCCGTTGCTGGCTATATGGGGGAGGTGAAATATAAAAGACGGAGATGCGAACAGAGAGAATGAGAGACCAACGAATGGAGTGGCGCGCACTAGCCTAAGTTACAGATGCTAAAACCTGCCTAAAGAACGATGTTATTGTGCACTTGAATAAAAGATGGTCATATATTTATTTTTCACAGGTCTTGGACGTGGAGACAACCTGGTGGGAGAGAACGGTAGCCGGTTTGGTGATCTTCACTGCTGATCTGTCAGGATACAGGGGCGCACTGCTGCACTGTGTCATGTACCCAGCAGGGAAATGGTTACTGCTAAGTGAAGTGCAGTTTCAAAGTGGTACGTACTCTTGCTAATGTCTGGTTATACGTGTGTCCAGGGCTTAATTTCTTACTCGATATTATCTGCAATTAGGCAGGTTTGGAGCACGGATTATCAGCGTAAGGCACTACAACTGGAGTACAGGGTCCACCTAATCCATAGTCATTGCATATCGAATATGTTTACAAAAATATGAAGTATAATGAGCGCAAAAAAGGGAGTTGATATGGGATGCTAACACAATTTTCGGAACATTGTCATGAGTTCTTCCGGCTGGAAGTTAACATTATTTGTTGCTGTTGTTGTTTGTGCTATTAAAATTAGTCGTGTCTTCTTGTACACAGGATGCGACATTGCCCTGGGTCTGAGCACTGGAGCTGTTCGTCCAGAGCAAATATCTGCGAACCCAGGAGAGACACGCAGCCTGGGTCTCCGGTCAGGTGTGGTGTTGTACGCCTGACGCCTTGACGTTGGAAAAGGCGTCCAATAAGTGCACATTGTTTTTGTACTCCTAGAGGATCGGTTGCTCCTGTAGTCGGAGCACTGAAAGTAATCTGTTTTTTTTTACAAATAATAAACTACCGGTATAATCTGTCAATTTGACACGTAGGTTGTCGCGAACAATATTATTCAAAATAAAGGTTTTTGGGGAAGTTTTTTTTGCCAGATTTGGCAAAAAAAATTGCATCTGGTCTTCGCACCTGATTAGCTTACAAGTGAAGACACCACATTTATCCTTCGCCTATTTAAGACTGAAACAGGCGGAGGATTTCTCTCCAACTCTGGCTGTCGCCTGATGATGCCGGTTGCTGTTGTAACTACCAGCGAAACGTCACCGTACTCGAATTGTAAATGTTGTTGTGGGTTTACTCTCCAACACACAACCGGTTAGTGCTGAGCTAGTAACTAATTGGTCACGTTTTATTTATGTGACAAACCCCTAACTGATTGGCTGTGTCGCGGTAGTGGCGGGTTTCACGACACATTTATATTTACGCGATCTGAACCTAACAAAACCTCCTATGGATGATAATGCAATTTGGCCTGACAGCTAGTCGCCATCTTCCATGCAGTTAATTTACACACTTCTGAGGACAAACGTACGTTGTCGAAGTCTCATATAATCCCATCTAATGTGTGTCCCCTGCGCAGACTGCTACTTCGGACGTGGGCAAGCCTACCGCGGCAACGTCTCAGTCACCCAGTTTCAGGTGCCCTGTCAGCCGTGGAGCTTGCAAAGCCCGCACGCTCACCCCGAGACTCCGCTCAACTACCCGGATGATGGACTGGATGGCAATTACTGCCGCAACCCCGGCGGCATGAGGGAGAGGCCTTGGTGCTACACCAATGACACGAACACTGCCTGGGATTTCTGCAGCATGCGCACTTGTGGTAATTACCATGAATTGCAACGATGGTTGGAAGCTTACTTTTGGTTCCGTGAGCCAACAGTGATTAACTCCGAACCCTATGGGAGCCTTCGTCTGGTTCTGTGAGCCTTTGTGATTAATGCTGAACCCTATGGGAGCCTTAATATGGCTCCCTGAGCCTTAGTGATGAACACTGAATCCTATGGTAGCCTTAGTCTGGTTGTGTGAGCCTCAGTTAGTAACGCTGAACCCTATTGGAGCCTTATATGGCTCTGTGAGTGTCAGTGATGAACACTGAGCCCTATGGGAGTCTTGGTATGGCTCTGTGAGCCTCAATGATTAACACTGAACACTATGGGATTATTAGTCTGGCTCTGTGAGTCTCAGAGATTAACACTGAACCCTACGGGATCCTTAGTCTGTTTCTGCGAGTCTCGGTGATGAACACTCAGGTTCACAGAGCCAGATTGAAAGCTTAATGTACACAAACCCTATAGTAAATTTGGTCTGCCTTTTAAAGCTTCACTGATTAACAATGGACCCTATGGGAGCCTTCGTCTTACTCGACATAAACTATAAACGAAACTATATATTTTCTAACCAGATAAAGCCCAATAAGCTATGTAGCTCTTTTTTAGAAGCGACCTTGCTATCACAAATGACAGCTCAACCAATTGGCTTATCTTGTAGAAATTTAAATCAGCCAAATACTCGAAAGGCATTCTTACTAAATGTGGAGGGAAAAACTGGAAGACCTGGAAAAAGTCCACACGGCCATGGGGAGAGAGACATGCAAACTACAAATATACAGCAGGCATCAGGGTCGGGATCGAAACCCCTGAATTCCTGCATACCAGGTGAGGTTGTTAACTTCTCCTAGCCACTGTGATAATGATGAGAGAGAGACACAAAAACTCAAAATATACAACAGGCATCAGGGTTAGGATCGTAACCCCCCCTACCTCCTGCATACCAGGCGAGGGAGTTAACTCCCTTGCCACTGTGGCACCAAATATCTATATATATAAAACTGACCAATTTGTTTAAATAGTGTTTCAAAAACCTGGAAACACAAACCAGAACTTAGAACAAACTATTTGCCAGTATGAAAACGTATTTTTCCCTGTCAGGTACCCGTTGGCTTTCAGTTCTGGTAATTAAGTACTTGAGGGGAAAAACACACGTTGGAAAGCATTGAAGAATGTGTGGATATGCATGAGTAGTTACTAGCACATGCAAACAAACATACTCTGATAATATATGGGCATTGTCTTTGAAACTAATTGGGCTACTTTATGACCTAGTTTCACCACCAGTGTCAGAACAGAGAATGCAAAAATGACAAACAGTACAAAGGCAATGCGCGTATAAGAGCATTTATCGCTCAGGGTGAGCAACATCATCATGGGGCCTTTTTGCCAGTATCAAAGTATGAAAATAAGAATAAGTTTTACCCTTTCTGAGGCAAGGCCATAAGAAGTCTGCTGTCTCTGGTGAAGGCCAATCAGTTTCAAAGACAATGCGTTTATTATCGGATCATGTTTGTTTTGCATGTTCACCACAAGTACGTGTGGTTAATACATACTTGATTCCTTGCAAAATTTCTCTATTTGGTGTTTTTTTGCAACTTAACACCTGTTTTATTGCCAGAAAGGGTAAAAAAATTACATTATTATTTTTCGCATAATGTTAATGATGTCAATAATAGCATGCATTCAAGTTGTCTAATAAACGTTCTTTATTTTGTACAACACTTGTTCAGGCTCTTGGGTCTTCGATCTTTACACGGTTGGAGCCCACATCACTGTTGACTTCACAAAGCCCGTTCAGATTTCCAAGATGGCGATGGTTGGAAATGGCTACTATTGGACGTCTGCACTGGAGGTTGGAGTGCTATTTACATGCTTTTATTTAACTCACTCTGTCTGTTGTTGTTGTCGTTGTTGTCATCGTAGTATCTTCAAATCTTATAACTCAATTTTAACCCACTTTCCAATGTGGTATCGACTGCAAACTTGGTATACTTATGTCATACTGATGACACTACTATATTCTATAAATATATATATATATATATTTTTAAGCATTCTTTTTATATGTTATGTTTCGGCTTCGGTCTAATTTTCCATGCTCAACTGACGTTGGCTGTAAATCACCACGGTCCCTTACGTTATGGCAAACCTCGGGGCCACTTCCTGGAGTCGTGGAGTTATGCCATCACTCGTATGGTGCATTTCATTAAAGCGTGTTTTAAAAAAGGTATTTTTTTACTATTACTTATTATGTTGCATTTTACCGGGTAAAGACTAATGAGCTGTCTAGTTCTTTTCCCGAAGCAACCTGGCTATCACAAATGATAGCTCAATGCTTTGGTGTATCACATAGACAATTATGGCAGAAATACTCTAAACGCATGCTTCTAAATGTGGAAAGAAAATCCGGAGGATCCGGAGAAAAATACACACAACCACGGGGAGAGACATGCAAACTCTAAATATACAGGCGTCAGGGTCGAGATTGAACCCACAACCTCCTGTATACCATGCGAGGAAATTAACAACTCGGCCACCATGGTGCCATACCGGCAAAATATCAACCACTATTTCAAATGAACACTCGGCACTATGCTTGTTGCAACAATGCAAGCAGACTGTGAATAGAATACCCCGTCCCATCCACGTGAATATGCGCAAACCATACCCACAATGTGGGCATGGTTCTTCATGTCAGAGTTCATTCAAAGTGTGACAACGGTTCGTTGATGGACGGAAGTCATGGATGAGAAATCAGGGAGGCGTAGCAGACACCAGTGTAATATCATTCATACCTCGTTTGCCAAAACAATTAGTGATGCTTGGTAAGCCTGCATGACGACTACAACCACTCTACAATGGCCGCAGTTGGCCTCTCTGATCTCTGTCTGTGCTCACGGATGAATGGCCATCACAGCTCGCAGTGGCTCTCAGTGACACTCCCAATATCACGCACAGACATTGCTCGGTTACGCTCGGCCAAGCACAGTTCACAGTTGCACATCAGGGTCGCCTCCCGACATTGAACTCGCAAGTACCCAACGATATTAACGCTGCACAAAATGTACGGACGTACCGTGCATATTCGTTTGGCACACACCCTTTGTCGGCAAGCCAATCACAAAAACTGCAATTCACGGTAAAACAAATTATCATTCACATTCTGTGATACCTAAAAGCGGTAACTTAAATGAGAACCCGAGTTTGGTTGTATTGCCAACTGTGCAAACTAAATTAGAACCAAACTTTTTTTTTTTATTTTACCAGATAAGGTCCAGTGAGTTATATAGCCTTTTCAGAAGTGACATGGCAACAAATGATATCTCAACGAAGTGGCTTTTTATCACGTGAAAATGTATAGCAACGAAATGCTCAAAACATGTGTTTCTGAACGTGGAGGGAAAAAACCGTAGAACCCTTAGAAAAATCCATGCGACCACTAGAGAGACACGCAAACTCCAAATATACAGCAGATATCACCAGGGTTGGGATTGAACGCACGACCTGCATACCAGACGAGATAGTTAACATCTTCTAGCAACCGCAGCAGAGCCCACCATCCCGAGCCCCATCGTCTCTTCACAGCCGAGGGATGATAACGCTTGCCCATTGTGAGCGCTGCTATTATCGCGATTGAAATACTTTCTTAGGGCGATTGTACACTGGAGAGTGTTTGCTTGATCCATGTGTGTACACGATTTGGTCGTGTTGTGTTCCCAGGTGGCGTACAGCATGGACAACACCATTTGGGATAGTTACATTGATAGTGCGGCCGATAACTATTTACTACAGGGGAACACTGATGCTGAAAGTATCAACTTTGTAACATTCCAGCCAAAGATTACGGTGAGTATATATCTAATCCTTCTTCCATAATATATCAATATACTGAGTTGAACTCTTTGGTTCTTTCGGTAAAGTCACGTAGGTATAAAATAAAATGAATTATATCACGATGTTTCCGGCGCAACACAAGTATCCGTCATCAGGTGGGACAACCTGATGACGTCACTTTACCGAAAGAACCAAAGAGTATGGATCCCTGCAATCACGAAAACTTCAAATCTATCCTGAGTTGTTTTGTCAAATGTCAGTTAATGAGAAGACTGGATGTTGAAAGATTTGTGTCATGTCGAACGGGCGCCAAATGGTAGCATGCTTTGCCACATGGTTCCCATTGCAAGCCCCAACATCCACCCAGGTTAATGCCACTGGTGGAATAATCATGAACACAAATCGTCTGCCTAAAAGGCAAGACGTGAAAATATCCCCATAATGTCACTCCTACAGAGTCAGTGTTGCCTCATAAATGCATTGGGGAGGAGTGGGGAGATAGGAGCTGGAAGAGGTGGCTAAGCAGAGACCCAAACGTCAGAGGCCAAGGTCGGGTGACTGGACCAGTGATGGGCAACCCAGACGAGTTGGGAGGCCGAGTGGCATAGTAACTACATTATTGTTGGTGGAGTAGCTACATTATCAGTGGCGTAGTAACTGCATTATCAGTGGCGTAGTAGCCACATTATCAGTGGCATATTGACTATATTATTATTGGCGTACGAGATAGATTATCAGTGGCGTAATCGCTTCATTATCAGTGGCATAGCGACTACATGATAAGTGGCGTAGTAGCTGCATTATTAGTGGCGTAGTAACTACTGTGTAACACATTTTTATTTATTCATTTTTTTGATCCTGGGTAGTACGTGTTAATTCCTAATTGCTTATGCCTCAACAGCACAGAAAATGGCTATTATTCCCCACAAACTTTGCTTTTGTGACGAAGACATTGATATTTTGAAATTTACATATTTTAAATGAGAACGGGCAAATTTGTGTTTTTTCGTTCACATAAAGTAAAAAAAAACATATTAGTCCAAATTAACATGTATTTATACTAAAGGAACACAAAAATGACTACAAAAGATTTCAGACACCAAGGCGCACTACCACAGGCGGGACTGGTCACAGCGGACCGAGATCTCTGTGGGGAGGAACAACGTCAAGTGGGAGCCACTGGTGGACCCCCAGAAGGTGCTGATGCCGCAACTGCACATCAAAATTGGCCTTATGAAGCAATTTGTCAGAGCTGTAGATAAGGAGTCGGCAGCCTTCAAATACCTTCAAGACGTCTTGCCTAAGCTGTCTGAGGCAAACGTCAAAGCTGGTGTCTTCATCGGACCACAAATAAAGAAGATCCTGGAGTGCAATGAATTCCCCAAGAAGCTCACTAGTAAGGAGAACATGGCTTGGAACAGCTTTGTCGCGGTGGTTCGTGGCTGCCTGGGCAATCACAAGATTGAAAACTATGGAGCTGGGCGAGACTGGTGAAGAACTACGGCACAATGGGCTGTAGGATGTCCCTCAACGTCCATATCCTTGATGCTCATTTTGATCAATTCCGGGAAAACATGGGAGCGTACTTGGAGGAGCAAGGCGAGCACTTCCACCAGAATATACTGGACTTTGAACGCCGCTACCAAGGACAGTATGGCGAGACAATGATGGGAGACTACATTTGGGGGCTGATTCGTGAAAGTGATTTACAGTATAATCGTACATTTCGAAAAACTACTCCTAAATCTTTTGTAGTAATCTTTGTATTACTTTAGTATGAATACATGTTAATTTTGATTCATGTTGTTTTTTTCTCACTTTATGCGAACGAAAAGACACAAATTTGTCCATTTTCTCATTGTAAATAGTCAAATTTCAAAATATCACTGTTCTGGTCACAAAATAAAAGTTTGTGGGGAATAATAGCAATTTTCTATACTATTTAAGCATAAGCAATTACGAAATAACACCTACTACCCAGGAACAGAAATTGTGTTACATAGTGTTATCAGTGGCACAGTAGCTACATTAGCAGTGGCATAGTAGCTACATTAGCAGTGACGTAGTAGATAATTATCAGGGGCGTAGAAGCAACATCAGCAGCTCAGGGGTGGTGCGGCACTGGCTCAGGGTGGGGCCAGCCAATATTGTGATTCTTTTCTTCGCACGGTGACACCTAAAGGCTGTTGTTATATATCGCGGGCCTCCTCTCTCGCCCTAATCCACATCCCGTCGTTACGTTCACGCGGTCTCCAATGTTTAACACCCTAGGTGGTGCTCCGTCTTACAGCAAAATGCAGGTCCCTTACAGCTCCGTAGTAGTAGCACATATTTGCAATATTATGTTACCGCTCTAATTGAAGCTCTAAGGAAATGAAAGTATAACGTGGAAAGTAAATGAAAGCATTTCCGTAACAATCAACATTTTTTACCGCGTTATAAATAAGTTGTTTGTGTTTTTTTTACACTGTTGTTGAAATACATCTATCATAACATTGTACGTCCTCTGGTCGAACACCGTTTGAGACTAGGCTTAAAAGAAAGCTGTCTCTGGTGTAGACCAATCAGTTTCAAGGACAATGCATATAGTATCAGAGTGTTTTTTGTTTGCATTCTGACCACAAGTATTGTGGTTAATGCTGACATGATTCCTTGTTAAAAGGTTTATGTTTTGTTGCCAGAAAAAAAAGGGGATAAACCTATTTTTATCTTAAATATATCAAGTGGTTGTCAAAGGGGCCCCAAGTCGTCGCTTTGGCCACCAGGGTGCGAGGGGAAACCCGCACACAGCCGTGGATTACCGGACACGAAACATATTTTAGTTGGACAACCTGGACAATTTTATGAACGGCGATAAAGCAGTAGCCATGTGCAGTAGTACTTCATGATGTGTTATCTAATTCCTGCTTTCTCTTAAAATATTCAGGCCCGGTTCATCTCTGTGATCCCCAAGAAATCCGAGCAGTACTATTCAGCGATGAATGTGGAGTTTTTTGGTTGTTCATCCGACAAGCAGTCTTGGAACAGCTACACCAACGTCACTGAAAATATAGTGAATGTAAGTAAAACAAAGACAAAGATCCCCCGTATAGCCTGAACAGACTTTTAGGGCAAGTGGTGTTAGTGAGCACCTATGAAGGCCGGCACTTGTAGTGGTTATGGGTTACCACGATATAAAATTTGACGACGCGGCAATGGTCAGGATATCAGTTTCCCACAACTTTGTAATGTTGTGAACCTTTTAACTGCATTGTTTTTTTTGCAATGTTACGCATTTCTTCGCGTACAAAGACAGATGGCTTAAACGGGGATTCAACTGCACTTCCCTCACTGAAGCCTGCCATATGTCTTATCATGACAACGTTAAAATATTTATGCTATGTTCAACTTTCTACCGTAATTGCTCTTCTGTGGCAAACGGGAAGGCTCCCATTATAAATATATTTTCACATTAATTTCCACAATAGTTAGGGTGTTAACGGTAACATTTTGGTCCAAAATCACCTTGAAATTACTAAACTAGATCTGTTCATGATATCTGCCCTCACACATTTTACTGTTCCAAGCCTTGCTTCACCCTCTCTGGCTAAAAAGTGATAAACATTTATATTTCATACCACCTTCATCTCTAGATCTCTGGCACTGGATTTGATCTTCTCTGGGTCTGCATCTCTCTCTCAAATCTTATAATATTTGCGAGAGATAGCATCTATGTTTGTACGTACGTACAATGTTTACGTACTTACAAACAGCAAAATAAACAAACGTGATTAAGTTATACAGGCTGCTGTGAGGCTACGTGGTAGGTCGCAGGTGGCAGTGAAGCAAAATCAATTGTTAGACTGCGCTTCTATGCCCCCACGTTTATGAGGTTTGTCTTTGCCAAACCCGCTAGGACCAGTGAAAGAGAAGTATGGTCAAATACTCCCTGCGTGCCACATGGCATGGGGAGGCGGCAAGATGCTAACTCCCTCGCCTGGTATACAGGAAATTTTGGGTTCGATCCCGACCCTGACGCCTGCTGTATATTTGGAGTTTGCGTGTTGCTCTCCCCGTGGTCGTGTGGATTTTTAACCGGGTCCTCTTCTGGTTGTTCTCTCCAAATTTAGAATCAACATCATGCATTTAGAGTAATTGGCTGCTGCTATAAATGTCCACGTGATGATAAGCCACTTGGTTGAGCTATCATTTGTGATAGCCAGGTCACTTCTGAAAAAGAGCTATACAGCTGAGTAGTGGGGACCTTATCTGGTAATATACAAGATTGTTTAGTTTTAGGTCCTCATCCTGGAACGGATTTACAAAAGAGCTGCACAACCACGCGCATACTGAAAATTTCCATTCTCCTCATCGGTTGGTTTTTAAATCCAAATGCATTTGCTTTGCAGGATAAAGTGTGGTCTTTGGCGAACAACCCTTTTCTCATCCATGGAGACATCACGGTTTCCAAGTAAGATTGCTGAAACGTTATTTATTTTTTTAAACGTTCATCAAATGGGCGAACAAATTGCGTATTTTAACATACGGGAGCAGTTCTTTTACCGGCGCGACGCCCATTACCAGGAGTAGCTGTATGGTCTGTAAAAACTCCCATTACCTGCGGCCCTATTAGTAATTACTGTTTCTCTAATGCTACTTTGAGGAATGGCTTAACCTCATCAAGCGGAGTTGGGTGGCATGTTCTCTCTATTGATGCCAAGGTGGCGAGATGTTGAATACCTCGCCTGTAATGGAGGAGGTCATGGGTTCGATCCCGACCGTGATGCCTGTATTTTTGGAGTTTGTATGTATAGTGTAGTGTATAGTAGTGTATAGTGTAGTATATAGAGTAGTGTAGTGTATAGCAGTGTAGTGTATAGTAGTGTATAGTGTAGTGTATAACAGTATAGAGTAGTATATAGAGTAGTGTAGTTTACAGTAGTGTAGTGTGTACATATGTTGAACTTCTTTGCACCGTATGTAGCCAACCGTGCTAATTGGAGGTGCGGGAGGGGGTACAACAAACTAAATGCAGAAAGCAGTTCTCAAGATCATGCGTCCTGTTTGCCCAACAATATTTTAGTCTTGTGCTGATCATTCGTCCTGTTTGCCCAACACGAGACTAAAAGAACATCAGGGAAATATTAAATACTCCAAAATACCACTGTCAGCAGTAGCAGAACACGCGTGCCAACAAGGACACATAATTGATTTTGATCATGTTGAAATTCTGTGCAAAACTACTACTACTGGCCAAGACTAATTAGATAATCTATCGAAATTGAAAGAAATAAAAATATTTTTAACCATTCGGATAGCTACCGACTTAGTGCTGCGTGGAAGTGAATCATCAAATAATAAATTTGTAGTGACATTGCGGGATGTCACTGTGCAGTGCCGTCCCTAGAGAGGCACGGCGTGCGGTGTAACAACATCGCGGACACCACAATGGTGTGGGTGTAGTACCGGCCCTAGAGGGGCCCGGTGAGCGCTGATTGATAGCGCTGGGTGGCACCACGCTTTGCGTGCAGTGCCAACCCTAGAGGACAGGGTGTGTGAGTGTCGGCCAAATAATAAGCTTACTCGAGGCCATGGCACTCTGGATGACCCGGGAGGACACGTGACCAGTTAACTCTACAAAGGGGCCCCAAGTGGGGACTGGGGGTGGTCACGTGATTGGGACCCAGATCCTTCCCGAGGATTCTAGAAGGTGGACGTGGCCAAGGGCGGAGCTGGCTACTCCACGGATAATATAAGCCGGGTCCCAAGAGGGACTGGGGTTGTTGTTCATCCTGGAAGAAACCTTCGTCTATGTTCTCCGTTCAATGAGTCTCCAACACGTGGACCTGGACCCGAGCTGTTGATCCCGGTCCGTAGTAGCAATTATGTTATAACTAGTGTAGTTAGCCTGGTGGTCACCACCATAGGTTGTTATTCTGTTAAGGGGACAGTTACCCCGTGTGTTGGAACTGAATAAGTGTGTTGCCTCCAAGTCTACGTATGTAACTCAGTTGAACCCAAATTTTGATTTAAAGCTTTCGTGACTGCAGTAATTCATATTCTTAGTTTTTTCGGTAAAGTCACGTTGAAGAGAAACAACAAAATAACAAAATATATAAAACAATAAAAAATTCTCACGACGTTTCGACCATAACTCAAACGGTCATCATCAGGTGTGTCGGTTTGCATAAATTTATTTTGAAAACGGCATATTTATTTATATATATAAAAATAACGTTTGCGTCACGCGCAACGATGGCAGTTTGCCAGGACTAGTCCATCTATTTTTTGAAAAGAGGAGGGGGGAGACGAAATTTGTTTTTATGTATGCTGTCTGAAAGGCACTGTAAGCGTGAACAATCAATCAAGAACTGAAATGATTTATCAAATCTTTCCAATGATTGCTAAGATAGAATCCATCTTCTCGGTTGAAATTGTCTCTGTGTTTGTATATGTGGATAGCCTCATGAACGAATCTCTCATGGAAGCCAGATGGCTTACAAAGAACCTCCGTCTTGGAAAAGTCAATGGCATGTGAGCCTACTGAATTAGAACAATGATCTGCTACGGCCGAGGTGTTGGTCCTACCGTGTTTAAGGTCTGCTTTATGTTCACGAATGCGGTCCGAGATATGGCGTTTGGTTTCTCCAATGTAACTACTACCACAGAGGCAACTTAGTTTGTAGACACCAGGGTATTGTATGTCCGGAATCACATCTTTTACAGACGGAACCAGATCACGGATTTTATGTAATGTGTTGAAACGGACCTGGATCTTGTGTTTATTCAAGATTTTGGAGATCTTTTTTGTGATCCCAGCAATGTAGGGTAAAGTGATGGTTTTGAAAGGCTCCTCAAGAGGGTTCTTCTTCATGGTTTGAGTGATAGCTTTGCGGATTGTATAGTCGGAGTAACCATTAGCCCTAAGAGCTTGGTGTACGTGCTTGAGTTCACTGCTTATGTGTTCCTGGTCGGATATGCATTGGGCTCTATGATACAGAGTCTTGATGAGAGAATTCTTCTGTGATGGATGGTGGTGGGAATCCGGTTTCAGATAAGCATCCGTATGGGTAGCTTTCCTGTAGACAGAGTGGCTCATTGAACCATCAGGTCTCTTTTTAATTAGGACATCCAAAAAAGGTATCTTGCCATCTATTTCGACTTCCATGGTAAATCTGATGGCTGGGTGTATGGAATTGATGTGGTCGAAGAATTTGTCTAGAGCAGGCCGGCCATGTGGCCAGATGACAAAAGTGTCATCCACGTACCTCTTCCATAAGGTTGGGCGCAGAGTGGCAGTCTGGATGGCGTCAGTCTCAAATTTCTCCATGAAAATGTTAGCTATAACTGGAGAAAGGGGGGAGCCCATTGGGGTGCCCTCAGTTTGTTTGTAGAAAGTTCCATTCCAAGTGAAGTATGTATTGGTTAAACAGTGTCTCACCAGGGGGGGTACCTCAGTGTTTAGTCCTTGATGAACCAAGTCTTCAATGATTGCAATGGTGTCAGGTACAGGAACCTTGGTGAATAAGGAAACTACATCAAAACTGACAAGCAGGTCGTCTGGGGACAGGGAAATACCCTTGATTGTTGATACCAGGTGAGTAGAATTTTGTACCGCAGAGGTGGTCTTTCCAGTGAAAGGACGCAGGATTTCAGACAAAAAACGAGCTAGTTTGTAGGTGGGGGAGCTGATAGTAGAGACTATGGGACGAAGAGGTGTATCAACTTTATGTATTTTTGGTAAGCCGTATAATCTTGGTGGCCTGGCAGCAGAAGGTTTCAACGAAAACTGTTTAGATTGATCAATTAATGCGGTTGAATCAGAAATTATTTTGTTGGTTTGTGTGACGAGGCTGTTGGTGGGATCTCTTTTTATTTTTGTATAACTACCATCGTCGAGTAATTCTTTAATTTTGTTGTTGTATTCTATTTTATCCATGATAACAGTAGCATACAACAACAAAATTAAAGAATTACTCGACGATGGTAGTTATACAAAAATAAAAAGAGATCCCACCAACAGCCTCGTCACACAAACCAACAAAATAATTTCTGATTCAACCGCATTAATTGATCAATCTAAACAGTTTTCGTTGAAACCTTCTGCTGCCAGGCCACCAAGATTATACGGCTTACCAAAAATACATAAAGTTGATACACCTCTTCGTCCCATAGTCTCTACTATCAGCTCCCCCACCTACAAACTAGCTCGTTTTTTGTCTGAAATCCTGCGTCCTTTCACTGGAAAGACCACCTCTGCGGTACAAAATTCTACTCACCTGGTATCAACAATCAAGGGTATTTCCCTGTCCCCAGACGACCTGCTTGTCAGTTTTGATGTAGTTTCCTTATTCACCAAGGTTCCTGTACCTGACACCATTGCAATCATTGAAGACTTGGTTCATCAAGGACTAAACACTGAGGTACCCCCCCTGGTGAGACACTGTTTAACCAATACATACTTCACTTGGAATGGAACTTTCTACAAACAAACTGAGGGCACCCCAATGGGCTCCCCCCTTTCTCCAGTTATAGCTAACATTTTCATGGAGAAATTTGAGACTGACGCCATCCAGACTGCCACTCTGCGCCCAACCTTATGGAAGAGGTACGTGGATGACACTTTTGTCATCTGGCCACATGGCCGGCCTGCTCTAGACAAATTCTTCGACCACATCAATTCCATACACCCAGCCATCAGATTTACCATGGAAGTCGAAATAGATGGCAAGATACCTTTTTTGGATGTCCTAATTAAAAAGAGACCTGATGGTTCAATGAGCCACTCTGTCTACAGGAAAGCTACCCATACGGATGCTTATCTGAAACCGGATTCCCACCACCATCCATCACAGAAGAATTCTCTCATCAAGACTCTGTATCATAGAGCCCAATGCATATCCGACCAGGAACACATAAGCAGTGAACTCAAGCACGTACACCAAGCTCTTAGGGCTAATGGTTACTCCGACTATACAATCCGCAAAGCTATCACTCAAACCATGAAGAAGAACCCTCTTGAGGAGCCTTTCAAAACCATCACTTTACCCTACATTGCTGGGATCACAAAAAAGATCTCCAAAATCTTGAATAAACACAAGATCCAGGTCCGTTTCAACACATTACATAAAATCCGTGATCTGGTTCCGTCTGTAAAAGATGTGATTCCGGACATACAATACCCTGGTGTCTACAAACTAAGTTGCCTCTGTGGTAGTAGTTACATTGGAGAAACCAAACGCCATATCTCGGACCGCATTCGTGAACATAAAGCAGACCTTAAACACGGTAGGACCAACACCTCGGCCGTAGCAGATCATTGTTCTAATTCAGTAGGCTCACATGCCATTGACTTTTCCAAGACGGAGGTTCTTTGTAAGCCATCTGGCTTCCATGAGAGATTCGTTCATGAGGCTATCCACATATACAAACACAGAGACAATTTCAACCGAGAAGATGGATTCTATCTTAGCAATCATTGGAAAGATTTGATAAATCATTTCAGTTCTTGATTGATTGTTCACGCTTACAGTGCCTTTCAGACAGCATACATAAAAACAAATTTCGTCTCCCCCCTCCTCTTTTCAAAAAATAGATGGACTAGTCCTGGCAAACTGCCATCGTTGCGCGTGACGCAAACGTTATTTTTATATATATAAATAAATATGCCGTTTTCAAAATAAATGTATGCAAACCGACACACCTGATGATGACCGTTTGAGTTATGGTCGAAACGTCGTGAGAATTTTTTATTGTTTTATATATTTTGTTATTTTGTTGTTTCTCTTCAACGTGACTTTACCGAAAAAACTAAGAATATCAGTTGAACCCGTTACACATTTTTTGAAATGCATGTCTATACAGGCCAACATACTTAAATAGGGATTACTGTTGGAATGTCTATTTTAATACCCACAATGGACAGGAAGGACAAGATCAAATGGCTCGCATAATGCACATGTATAATGTACGTTGAATCATTAATCCCCCCTCCCCACGTGTGTGGTCACCACATTTACGCCTCTATATAAGGAACGAAACAGGTGGATTTCTCCACAAATCTAGCTGTCACCTGGTTAAGCTAGTTATAATTACTGGCGAAACGTCGTACTCAGATTGTAAATGTTGTGGCTTGGCTCTCCAACACACCGGTGTGCTGTACTAGTGACGAATTGGCATGTTTTGTTTATGTGACAACCCTTACTAGTTGGCTGTGTCGGGTGGTGGCAGGTTTTAATGACACATTTATATATTTACGCGATCTAACCCAAAAAAAACCTCTTATGGTGATATTGGTCCCCAAAAGCTTGCGTGTTAAACTGACTATACACGACATTACTATACACTACACTATTATACATGACACTACTATACACTACACTATATACTACACTACTATACACTACTATACTAAAATGAAAACGAATGTAAAGAAGTTTAAGATATTTTGGATATCTTATAGTTAAACGTAATCAAAACGTCTCATGTCTTTGTCCTGTTTAAGGTTTGCAAAGTTGACAATACAGCCTGGAGTAAAGGTTGTTTTTTCATTTCCAGCAAGTCGGCTAACGATACAGGGTGAGTTTTGAAATATTTTACACGTGTAAACTGCATCTCTAAAACTACAATGGGATGTGTTTACATATTTTTGTAAGTATCCACATCGTCCTCGGCTTACGAACAGAATTCGTTCCTGAGACCCGTGCGTAAGTCGCAATACAATAATACACCACTGTGTTTAAATGCCCATACGGTCGGTATTGTGAAATGTGTATCAGTTCACCAAAAAGGGAAGCCATTGTTAAACTCGTTACCATCTCCCACAGTATTGCGACTCTGAATAAAATAGTTCCGCGGTTCAATTTTCGAGTGCGAGTTCGCTTTTTAAGTCAATGTTATTTTATATTTCATGGAAGCTGGTTCGTAAGTACGGGCGTACATGTGTTGGAAAGTATGGGCGTTGGTAAGTACGGGCGTTTGTAAGTATGGGCGTCCATCAGTGCAGGCGTTTGTAAGTGCAGGCAATCCGATCGTAAGTGCGGGCATTCATAAGTACAGGTGTTCGAAAGGACGAGCCTTTGTAGTTATGGGCATTGGTAAATATGGGCGTTGGTAAGCACGGGCGTTTGTAAGTACAGGCTTTCGTAAGTGCAGGCATTCAGAAGTGCAGGCGTTCGTAAGTGCGGCCGTTCGTGAGTGTGGGCGTTGGTAAGTACAGGTTTTGGTAAGTATAAGCGTTGGTAAGTACGGACGTTCGTACATACGGGCGTTGGTAAGTAAGGGTGTTCATATGTCGATTATTGCATATATATACATCCTAAATAGGTATGAAAGTTCAGATAATATACAAATTGTTCTGTTTTGGATCTCAATTTTGCTCAATTCAAGAAATGCATGAACACTCATCCATTACAACTTTGACAGTGCTGTAAGTTGCTGGCCGCTTGGCATGTTGAGCCTTTAGGCACTCCGCTGAGCCGCTGTGTTTAAAAAAAGAGTTGTTATTATAACAAAGTAAACCTATATTCTTAGCTCTTTCGGTAAAGTCACGTTGACTTTACCGAAAGAGCTAAGAATATGAATTACTGCAGTCACGAAAGCTTTAAATCAAAAGTAAACCTACTAGGATTGATTTGGGTTGGGTCATGAAAAGGTGACATGGAACCATGCTCACAGAAATAATACAAAGAGGGAAGAGGAGTGATGACATAGAAGGTGAGATAAAGGGTGATATTGGGGGAATGGGGTGGGAAAACCTTCCAGAGAGATAGAGACTGGCGAGGAAGAGATGGTATGAAGGGACTCCTCTACTTACGAACATTCTACTTACGAACTTTCATAGGTCCGAACCTGTCCGTATCTTCAGTTGTCTGTTCGGATCGAGAGTTGTAAGTTCAACTGCCGCGCAATCGATGCCAGTGGTTGTTTGGTGTCAAGCACTGGCTTTTTTGAGTCTCAGGACCCAAACTGAACGGTTTACTCAGGAGTCGGCAGTTGTTCACGATGCTATTGCCTGTTACAAGTTGATTTATGAAAAAAAGAAGAGAGCAACTGTGCAGATATATCGTGGTAAGTTGTTCAAGAGACGAGAGAGGAAACACAAGCACCAAAGGGAATTAGCATCTACACCTGCAGAACATGACGAACCAGTGGCATCTACATCTACAGGAGAATCTATAACTTTTAAGCCATTCCGTGTTTATCGTAAATTCCGTAAAACTTGTTTGGAATCGACAGGAGTAAAATTAGACTTACAAACAAATCGACTTACGAACAGATCTCTGGAACCTAACTCGTTCGTACGTAGAGGAGTTCCTGTATTAGGGAGGGAGGGGACAAGGGGGGAAACGAAGCAGCATGTTCAGAAAGCGGCTGCTAGAATGTTAACCAGAACACGTTCTTCGCATCGTGTTGGCCTCCCTGCACTGGCTTCCAGTTTTCACTTACCATCCAGTTTAAAATCCTATTGTTAACCTACAAAGCAGATAATCACCTTGCCCCAGCCTACATCATTGACATGCTGCACCCACATGCCCCCTCAAGGTCCATAAGATATGGAGATACATTTCCAGGTCGAGGTTTCGGTCTATGGGTGACTGAGATTTTTTTTCTCTATAGCCCCCACGCTATGGAATGCTCGTCCACGAGATCTCTCTAGACTCTGTGGACATTTTTAGAAAATGCATCTTAAAACTTTAATTCATTTAGAAAATGTTTTTGGTTTTATATTCTTAATAATATATTGTTCATCCTGAGTGTCTGCTCCTGCTTCTGTGTGCAGTACGGCGCTTTGAGATCTTTGATTAAAAAAAGCGCTATATAAATTGAATTATTATCATTAAAGCGAATGGGGACCTGGGACACAGTGGCTAGGAGATGTTAACTTCCTCGCCTGGTATGCAGGAAGGGGTCATGGGTTCGATCCTGACCCTCACGATGCCTGTTGTATATTTTAAGTTTGCATGTCTGTCTCTCTCTCTCCCCGTGGTGGCGTGGATTTTTCTCCAGGTCCTCTTCTGGTTGTTCCCTCCACATTTAGAATCAACATCATGCATTTAGAGTATTAAGCTGCTGCTATACACTTCCTCGTGATGATTGATCAGCCATATTCTTGGTTCGTTGAGCTATATAAGCTCCGTGGGCCTTACATCTGATAAAAAAACAAAGTTTTTTTGTTTCATGTTTGTCTTGCTGAAACAGTAAAGCTCCCAGACCAGGACGACTCGTGCAGACTCCCTTCATGATTGGCCCAGTTAAACTGGAAGAAAAATGTAACGCATTCATTAGTAATGGTTACTATATCTAGTTTGCATCTGATTGGTTGTTCCTGTAATGTCATGACACGTATTGAAGAAGCCGGCTCAGGTGACACTTTAATTTCACTTCCTGGATTTTATTCTGACCCTCCTAAAGCTTCACCTGAACATCAGGATCAGTATTTATACTGCAGAAGGAATCTGATGAGCTAAAAAGCTATTTTTTTGCAGATGTCTAGTAGGGGCGGTTCAGAAAGTTACAACAACAAACAATACAAAAACACTACAGTAGGGAAAAGCATAGGAAAGGTAAACAAATCACACACACAAATCTAAACTCTTTTGTAAATGTTGTGGGTTTACTATCCAGCACACAACAGGTTAGTTCTGAACTAGTAACTAATTGTCACGTTTTGTTTAGTGACAACACTTACTTATTGGGCATGTCGGGTGGTGGTGGCGGGTTTAACGACACATTTATATTTACGTGATCTAACCCAAAAACCCTCTAATGGGTACACTTTAAAATTTTATCAGGTAAAGCCCACTGAGATATTCAGAATCCGATGAGCTATAAAGCTCTTTTTCACAGTTGTCCAGTAGGGGCACGGGGTCAGAAAGTTACAACAATAGACACACGATAGAAGTGCAAAGTACAAGAGACGTAAACAAATAACTAATAAAAAAAAATTCCAGGCAAAGCCCACTGAGCTATTGGCTTCTTATTTGAGAAAAAAGCTGGCCACAAACGATATCTCAACTAAGTGGCTTATCATTACATGGACATTTATAGCAGATTAATAACCTGAGTAAGATGCGTGTGCATGGTTTCATGTGCAGCATCGTATCCAAATTCTCAATGTTGGTGTGGCGAATTTTTCAACTTGTAAACAATCTGGAACAATAATTGGCACGTAAAACATTTTGTGCACATGACAAATATTTGGGCTATTTAGGGTGGTAGAAGGTATTACGACCGATATTTGGCCAGATCATTACATAGCCGAATCAGAAACTGAGCAATGAATAGAGTATCACACTCAACGGCAAGGCGGATGGGAAAGTCTTACCCCCCACTTTGTGGACCAGACTTGACTTTAAGAGAACTTAAAGGTAGCTCCATGGTGTCCGCTTCCATTGGACATTCCCCAACACGAAAGGTTGAACCGTTCTGCAAGAGTTTTGAGTGGATTCTTTCTCTCGTGGTGTGACACCAACAGCACAATTAAGATAAATTGTGCAGAAGGGAAAAACAATTAAGGAATGTAATAATGATCCATGTTTTATGTTATTGTTTATTTTGGCAGGTGAACTATTTGTCAATGGGCAGCCTGGACTTCCGGTGAACTTTGGTCCATCTGGGATTCCATTAACAAGTGGGCAATGGTATGGCATCGTCATCAATGGTAAGATGTCATCTCCAATCCAATTGCAATAAAGTAGGAATGTTCGTACATAGGAAGCCATGCATTTGCGATTTTTTTTATTAATTTGAAAAATAAATGTGATGTCACTTCCATTGTCGCAAGACACGTTCGATAATAATTTATAATAAAGGTTTTTGGGTTAGATATTCTAAGTATAAATTTGTCGTAACCCTCCACCACAAGACACAGCCATTAAGGTTTGTCATGTAAACAAAACGTGCCAAAAAGTAGCAACTAATTGGTACTCACTAATTGGCACGTTTTGTTTACGTGACAACCCTTGCTGGCTGTGTCGGGTGGTGGAGGGTTACAACACATATATTCTTACGCGACCTAACCCAAAAAGCTTTATGAATAATATTGGTCGCGAAAGCCTACGTGTTAAACACAATTATATAGTTGCTAAAAATCCACATTTAAAAATGTTAAATATGTAATGTTCAATCCCTTTTCACGCACTACTAAAAATGTGTGAATTTACTGTGATTCATATATTTTGTGCTTCTGTAAGCGCATGTGCAGCAAATTTAACTTTTAAAACACTACAAGGGCACGCCAGTCGTGTTATTAACGTTTTACAACAAACGTTGAAACACGTCAATGCACTATCTCTGTATGTATGTCTGAAACGGAGCAAACAATAACCCTAAGGATAACGATGAGTCGCTTGTTCATAACTTATTCTTATACAAAAGTAGCCACATATGGGCCCAGACTTACCTGAAACCTGGAGCAAAATATTTGACTCGACGCGTGCCTTCCACGCAGATGATGTAATAAAGTGGCATCTTGATGTGTGGCTTGAAATGTAAAGGTGACTATTCCTATACTCCTTGGTTCTTTCGGAAAAGTCACGTCGGTATAAAATAAAATAAATTACGACGTTTCGATTGCAACATAAGTGGTCGTCCTCAGGCGGAAAAAATATAATCCAGCGGTGGAACTGCTGAACCAGCGAGAGAGCAGTTATTTTATTTTATACCTATTTAACTTTACCGAAAAAACCAAAAAGTATGGATTCCTGCAGTCACGAAAGCTTTAAATCAAGATTGGCTATTCTTGTAAAATCAATACGAGGACAAAGACATATTGGTCATGTTAGTCAATGTATCTACATGCTTGATTTTAATAGCCAACACGTATTTAACGGCTCTCCAATTTTTTTTGTAATCGTGTGTTCTCGCGCAACTTGTCTGACGTTTTATCTCCAACCTGCTGGTAGCTTCTTCAATAAGGAATAACTTAATTTAGTTACTGGCAATGCAAAGCCAAGTCGTATATGCACACGTAATACATTGCAAGATAGTTGAAATAGTACTCGAATTGTAAATATTGTGCAAAAGGTTTCTATTTGTTAAGACATCAAATAGAAACCTTTTGCAAGGAATCATGTCTGCATTGTCCACACGTACTTGTAGTAAACATGCAAACAAAACATGCTCTGATAATATATGCATTGTATTTGAAACTGATTGGTCAACACCAGAGACACCCTTCTTTCAGGCCTTGTCTCACCAGTGTTAGACCAGAGAACGCCATAAGGCGAAAAGTACAAAGACAATACAGTATTCTTATTTTTTCATACTTTGATACTGACCAAAAAAGTCAGATTTTGTAGCTGCTATAAAATCGGACTTTCTGACAGAAAAATGCAATATTTTGTACTGTTCACTTTTTGGCGTTCTCTGGTCTGACACTGGTAAGACTAGGCCCTCAAGAAGGCGGTCTCTGGTGTAGATCAATCAGATTAAAAGACAATGCATATGTAGTGGGTACTGATGGAGACTCAGTCTTCACTGGAGGCAACACGTTTATTTGCAACAATAATAACGATAACACAAGGTCCCTAACACAAGGGGGTAACGGCCTCCTTCACCCGATACTCTGGGGAGGTACAGCCTCCGGGCCAGCGTGCCCTAACCACTGGGACCACTCTCTATAACACAGCCCTCCGCCCAGGGGGGAACTAAGGGAGGCTAGCCTGACCCGACCCCGCCAAGGTTCTCGGGTGCGACCACTGGCCCAAGCAGCCCTGACAAGGACTTCGGGTCTGGGGGTTCCCAGGGTCCTACTCTAGGACTAGCCTGACCAGACCCTGCCAAGGTCATCAGGTCCCGACCACTGGCCCACGCGGTCTCGACCCGGATAAGGACTTTGGGTCCGGGGGTTCCCAGGGTCCTGTTCTAGGCTGGCTCTTCGGGTCTTTGGCTTGATGACGACTGGCAATCCTGTTCAGGGGTCCGCCTTATATACGATTCCCAGGGTCACTCCGCCCCTGGCCACGCCCACTCTCTAGGACCTGGACTGTTGCGTAAATCCCCCAGCCCTCACTGGGGGCCTGGGGTGTGTACCTCCGGTTCCCAACCACCCTCTGGGTTCCCTGGCCTAACGGCATTATTTAGTACATGTCGGACTCGCTGTTGCCCCCTGTTGACTCATGGCTGGTGCTACACCCGGTCAGTAGTGGTGACGGCATATGACGCTAACAATACCCACTACACATATATTATCAGAGCATGTTTGTTTGCATGTTCACCACAGGTTAATGCAAATATGATTCATTGCAAAAGTTTATATTTGGTGTTTTAACATATTAACACCTGTTTTATTACAAGAAAGGGTAAAATCTATTCTTATTTTTTCATACTTTGGTACTGGCCAAAAAGGTCCCATTTGGTAACGAATTTGCACCTTAATAATTGACTGTGTCAGGTGGTGGCGGGTTTAACGACACATTGAGAAATATGCGATCTAACCAAAACAAACCTCTATTATGGATAGTGAATACTGTTTAAAATAAGCAGTCGCTTAAAGATGTGTAATGATTTATATGTATAGGGCACTGGCTTCATTGTATCGGCAACTCAGAGCCTTACATCACATCTCAACAAATGCATTGCGCTACTTAAATCTAGCCATGGGGGGACCCCCAACCAATAGCAGCTTTCCCTGTGCAGCACGAGGTGGACACAACTCAGACCTGCGAATATTAATTAATTATATTACTAGGGGGGGGGGAGGGGGGGCGATGTTGCTATCTGCCTTTTCATAATTAATCACTTTGTAAGAACATTATAGATTTATATTATTTCAATAACACGTCGACCTGGGTTTTTTTTTTAATACAGCCTTTTAAATTAACCATTTTTATTATTTGTTTGCGTCTTTGAATCCTCCAGCCGACGCTCCCAACAAAAAGTCGACAATCAGGCACGCGGAGTTCGTGAGTTGCTCCGTGTGTGTGACTGCCCAAAGCTCAAACGTGGACATTGACGAAGTAAGGATCCGCAAAGCTGTAACCGGACTACAATTTGAAGACCTGAGAAATGCCGATCACACCGTCATAATTAACAACACCAGAGTGACGAATTCCAATGATGGAATCAGAGTATCTGCCAGAAACGGGAATTTTCACCTGTCTTCTGTTTCGCTGCTAGACAATGCCAATGCCGGTGTTTATTTAACAAACATGGCTTTGATGTCAGTGGCTGAGTGTAATTTCAAACAAAATACATACGGGATCTTCTACTACGTGGAAACACCCTCAATATTGAATGTGATCAATTGCCAAATCAGCCAGCAAAGAAATTATGGAATGTACGTTGATGGATATGGAACCATTTCCCTCCTCGTCAAGAATTCATCGATCTCCGGCAATGCCAATGGCTTGATCTTAAACGTGAGAGGCAGTGGAATTGCTGTGCTGGAGGACAACTTATTCACAAACAATAGCTTCTATGGGCTAAGCATATACAACGGAAACCATCTGTCACTTGTAAACAACGTCATTCAAAACAATGCAATTGCAAGGGACCAAGCTTGTTTAATAACATCTTCAAGCTACATGTCGATAGACGGAAATCTTTTCATCGGCAACAAGGGACAAATACAATTCGCCGGAGGACCATTTCCTGCAAATATAACCAACAACGTTTTTCGGGGAAACGATGCGAACCAGAGAAGTAAGTTTTTACTACGCCAGCGATATAGCTCCTTTTGTGCATTGCTTGTCATGCCACGATCGTGCTCGTCGAATTCAAATGAAGCGAGCATCAAATTGTGACTGTTGCACTTGTTAGTATCGTCACAGTGCCTGTGACTGAATCACACTGCGGTCGATATTGGTCAGTTAACGAAGCTAAGCAGGTATTGAGCCCTGGCTAGTGCTTGGATTAGAGACCGCCTACGTGGCTATGGGGTGGGCATCAGAGGGTAATGCTTTAGTTCATTCGTACGTTGGGCACACTGATAAGCTCCGACCGTACAAAGACGAACACCGTTCCTGTACCCAGGACTTGAACAAATACTTAATAATTTAGCTGTTAAAGCAGAAGCGGTGATGGTGGGTGGATAGGGGGGACATCTCCACCTCATTTTGACCTCGAATCACTACATCCTGAGTGTTTTTTCGCATTTTGCACCGGCGCCAGATGCTCTTGCTCATATCGCGGTGGCGAAAAGTTAACTACCTTGCATGATATGCAGGAGGTTGGGGGGTTCGATCCTGACACTGACACCTGCTTTATATTTGGAGTTTGCATCTCTCTCCCCGTGAGTTTTCCCTACACATTTACAAACAACATCAAACTTTTAGAGTATTTGGCTGGTGCTATAAATATCCATATGATGAAGGATATTTATTTTCAACTCTTACTCACACCACACTTCCACTCGTCATCAAAAATGAACCCCGAACCCTCCAACTCCGTTCCCTTTAATAGTTCGTCTCCCCCCTTTTATGCTAATCCCCTTCTCAGGTTTTTCCGCCCTTGTATAATCCTTCTTGCACCAATCCAATCAGAGTGTCCTCCACTCAATAATCGTGTAGTGACAGCGTGGATGTCACTGTGAAATGCCGGCCCCGAAGAGGCACGGCGTGCGATGTATTGACATCACAGTACGGACCCTAGAAGGGCTCGGTGAATGCTGACAGTGATGGATGGCACCATGCTCTGCATGCAGTGCCGGCCCCGACAGGATGGGGTGTGAGAGTGCCGGCCATGGGAATGGGATTACTATAGGCCGTGACACTCTGATTGACCCCAGAGGACACGTGACTAGTTGAGTCTACACCGGGGCCCCCAAGTAGGGGCTAGGGGTGTCACGTGTCAAGCCTGAGAGCCTGCTCGATGATTCTCGAAGGTGATAGTAGCCAAGGGTGGGGCCAGACACGCCGGAGAGGATATAAGCCGGGTCCCCGAGGGACCGGCTGCTGTTGTTATCCTGAAGAATCTAGATTCTATGTTCTACGGCTGACAGTCACCAACACGTGGACCTGGTCCCAAGCTGTGGTCCGGTCCATTGTAGCTAGTTACTGTGTAATTCGTGTGCATCGCCTGGTGGTCCACCACCATAGGTTGTTATCTTGTTAAGGGATAGTTACCCCGTGTGTTGGTATTCATAAATGTGTTGCCTCCAAAGAGTGCATCTGCGACTCAGTTGAACTCATTACAACCGTATTATGTGTCGTTTACGGCAGTGCTCCTGTGACCCCTGACCCTTAACCTGTGGTTGTGTAGTGTTTGTGTGGGAGGATGTCCCGAACATCCTCTACACCCCCCCCCCCCCTTCTGTTAAGGAGGAGCCATCATCGGCTCGGATAATTCCCTGACGAGGCGAACAAAACACAACCCAGTGTAGTTCGCGAACGCACGTGTAACTAACCATCCGCGGTGATAACATGCCACAATCGAGAAGAAAAAAATGTTCACAGCAGTACAACGCACAGAGGGAAAGGACAACAACAACTTTCACGCCACCCCCCTTTTGCTTTTGTCAGGCTGTGAGTCGCCACTCTCACCAACAATGTCCAGGATCCATGACCACAACCGAACACAAGCGAGTCCCAGGAATGTCTTAGACCGACGCTGCGACAAGACGGCATGATTGAGTGTGGGTGCACGGACCCCCAGCCTTGGATGGATCACTGTTCGGGGCTATAGGTCGCATCCCCGGCTGCTTCTGTGCCAGAACCCGAGCAGGCATGCCGGTCACTCGTATTCCTGTAGGAGCAGGAGCCAGTCCATCACTCAAACGATCTGCCATCCGCGAGTGTACCGACCTCTTATCACCCAGCCGGAGTGACAATGAAGGTGGGGAACATGAGGGTGCATGAGAGGGTGGCTCGTCCACAACATAGCACTTATGTCTAGGGGGATGGACATATCACCGACGTTAACCCAACTGAATGCAGCCACCCTGGGGTCAAAGCACTTGCAATATAGTGACTGGGCCCTGCCATCGCCGATGTAGCTTCGTGGAGGTGCGTATTGGCACCAGTGGGCAGTGCAGCCAGGCCAGTTCACTGACTGCAAACGGGACTACTGTTACTACCTTAGCCCACAGACGTTCGTTCGTCACCAGCACCGCCGCGGAAGCCGCTAAAGCCGCCTCTCGATCCTGGCACAAATATTCCAGCGAGTGACGAGACTAGGCCAGCCAATCACCTGCTTGTGACGGAACAGGGTTCAGCTGAGCCTCTATTGGAGGGTTATGCTCCCGACCATACATAAAAAAGAACGGCGAGTACCTCGTGGATGCATGCGGCGCCGAACTATATGCTGTCAGACCCCCGGGAATGTGCAAAACCCAGTCCATCTGCGCAGTGTTCACCAAGTGGCATAACATTCCCGAGATTGTGCGGTTAAAGTGCCAACCATGCCATCCATTTGCGGGTGGTACGGGGAAGTCCGCAACTTCTTGACACAAAACATGTCACACACCTCCTGCAACAGCTTGGAGGAGAAGTTATTACCCTGATCTGTCAACAGCTGTTCAGGAATCCCCTTGTCCACCACATAGCCATTCACAAAAGCATCAGTTATGGACGCCGCGGTCTGATCCTCTAACGGCCACGTGAAGCACCAGTGGGTGAAACATTCCATGCCCACCAGCAGGTATTTATTTCCCTGAGGGATAGCTGGAAAGGGCCCCAAATATCCCCGGTTCGATGGTGCCGGCGTCACCTTGTCCCATGCTGCCATCTCTCCAGCTCCTGTGACCACCGGTCATGCTTCCTCTCCGTTAGGCCTCACATGGGGCGCTGTAGGTGACAAGGGGACACTGGGCACCGAACCCCCTGCAGGTTGGCAAGTAGTGGCCGTTGACCTTGGCCCGGGTAAGGGTGATGATGATGGCGGTAATGATGGCGGTGATGATGGCATTGCCTCGGTGGAGAATGATGGCGGCGATGGAGGTGGAGAGATATATGGCTTAAGGTGGGTGGAGTGCACAAACCATCATCGCTTACTCAGTTGGACCTGGACACCCTGATGTCGGAGCCCTTTAATGACCTTGACCGGCCCCCTTTCCAGGGTCTGTGCAGTTTTGGTCAGTGGCCGACCGGCACCTGAGGACAGCGAAGCCATGCCTGTTCCCTGACTTTAAAGGGCTTGGCTGTCACTGTCCTCTCCCGTATCTATACGTTGCTCCCTTGGCTGCCGGCCAAGGGGTCCATCCACGAGTCGTCTCCTCTGTCCTCGGAATGGCTGAAGATTCCCACGAGCCCTGGCCCTGTCCCAGGGACTCCTAGTGACAAGGGACTAACGTGGGCCATAACTTTTACCACATGCACCGTCGCTGCTCTGTAAGAGGTGTTCAGCACTTTAAAGAACAGATGCTGGTTCCTTTGGACAAAAGTCTTGGCCCCCACCAGTGCGTGGCGATCTGTGGCGGCTGTGCCGGAGACACCAGGATGGGCGAGTCGGGCCGGGCTGTCACAAGGAAGGACCGATATCGCAGCAGAGACTCACTGACCAGAGCCTGCACGTAGGATACCCCTTGGCCAGCCCACTCCGCCCTCAGGAAATGGAGATGTGTTCCCTGGACTTCCACTCGCCCATTCGCCAGATCCTTTTTCATTGGCATTTTCCTCAATGTCCATCCCCAAATGGCAGAGCAAGGGCAGCATTGCGGAGACAAGGGTGGGTTCTGCTACCGAAAGCTGCCCAATCTGTATTGGGGCTTCAACCTGGCCCAAGAAGCCCATACTCCCTCCATTTACCGCGACGAACGTCATCTTGACGGGGACTAAAGGCCGATTTTTATCCGGCAACATCTCGGGCATGGTGCTCGAGATGATCGTGACCAATGCCACAGTGTCAGCTAGGATGCTTGCCGGCACTCCCGCAATTGCACCAACCAGGACCAAGGTACCTGACGCGGCCGCTGCCACCCACCTTGCCAGCTTCTTCCATTGTGTGGCTGAGTCCGGCAACTGACCAGGCAGCGGCTCGCTATCCTGTATGGCGAGGTGACAGAGGATGGATGTGAATGGGCCGAAGATGTGGTTCCCTCCCTTGGACTGTGTCGCAACAGGGTGAATGCGCCCTTGTTACGTGGGGTGGGCTCCCCATGGGGTGTGGGGTGGCCTCCCCATTGTAGTGGGGTGTGGGGGTTGGGGGCGGGGGTGGGCCTTCCCGTGAGCCCTCCCCCTTCCCTCTCCCCCTCCTTTATTATGGGGGCGTGGGCCCCCTTTGTGATGTGCCCCTTCTGGACCCATCTCACTCCGCTGCATTGCGAGGGCGAGGCGGTGCGCGAGACGTCTCAATGGCGCACCGGCGATTGCGTGTGCTGCCTCAGCCTCGGGGCTGTTGCCCCTGCATTGCTGGTAAACAGTGAAATCACCTCGCACGGCGATGTCACTTCCGATCGCGATGTCACTTCTGGTCGTGACGCCACTTCCGCCTGCGACGTCACTTTCGACCCCGGCGTCATGTCCGACCGTGACACCACTTCCGGTCACGACACGATCCCCGGCTCCAAGGTGATCCGCGGCACCGATGCAATCCCTGGTCCCGGACGCGATCCCCAGCCCCGAATGCGAATCCCAGCCCCGATGCAACCTCTGGCCCCGACGAAATCCCCGGCCCCGACGTGACCCCAGGCCCTGACGTGATCCCCGGCCCTGATGCGATCCGTCTCACCTGACTATGATGGCAGCACCCGGGGCCCGACAAAGACA